ATCTACATCCAGCGCACCATGATATCATGTTGAAATGCCTTCATAGCATTACCCAAAGGTTAATCCCTTCTTTTTAGTAGAAGTGATGAACGAACATAGGTACAAAATATAGACCAACTGAGAAAACAAGCACATGTATACCTGTAAGCTTCTATGCACTCTTGACGGTTCCCAGTTCGAACGATTTCTAAAGCGAGATCATGTAACAGGGGCAAAACCCTTGCTGGAATTAGAACTGGAATTTCGTATACTGTTTTGTCAACATTTTCCATTCTCTGCTCAGTAAGAGATCCAGCATCTGGATCACCTAGATTTCCTGGTGATTCAGGGTGCGATGGGCTCGGTGAGATCACAACTAGGTTGTGACGCTCTAATGCCTGGCTGAAACAAAAGAAAAAAATCACATTAAACTTATACCGCTCAATTCACTTGGGAATGTGTTACCATATGATACCATTTAAATAATTTTTTCAATTGTCTATTAAGTCAAAAGATACAATTGGTTGTGTACATAAAACAAAACATTTAAAACGATATTTATACAGCTATTCCATCTCTGAACTAAAGAGTCATAGAATAACTACGTCAAAAAGTACGTAAAGAGTCATACAATTTATCTATCCATTTGAACTCCATTATTTTTTATTTTCATGAGAAAAGGACAGGTTTGCCAACTTGATCCTTCAAAACTTTCATGTTGGCATGCCGGAATGTGCGGTAAAAAAAGTAGGAACAGAGTGCCATCCCAGAAAGCTAAGTTAAAAGGATTCAGCTGACAAAGACAAAGACGGTATACCTGACTGAGGAATGCAAGCATCATGCAAGTTAAGTATGACACTCAATAATAAATGTATCACCCTGTTAAGTATGACTGAGAAAGGCAAGCATCAAGGAAAACTATTCCATCGGATGGCTACATAATACGATTGTGAATGAAAGCGAATCTCAAGCTGTTGCAAGGACAACTTGCTTCACACCTTTCATGTCTCCAATATGAGATTCCTTTCTTCAGAATTTTAATCAGAATCAATCCCTTGGATGTTACCGAGTAACATCAACCTGGCCCTAATACGATTTTGGTAATATTTGAGGGAAAGGCCTTATCAACTATTCTCGTCAACCTTGCCCAACATATTTCAAACAGAATTTTGGTAAACATCTCATCAAGTTCCCTTGTCATTTGTTGGATTTTGCACAATTCCAGATATTGGGGATGAGGAAAATCATGTCATTATCTATTTTCTCATTTTTCTCATTTTTTAAACATTTAACCTTCAAAAAAACAAAACCATCCTGTTTCAGAGGCCCATTTTCAGCACCGGGCTATCCCAGACTGGAAGTCCTAGTGCAATCCGGTTTTCTTGTCTTCGGGCCAAACATAGGCCAAGAAATTGACCGGGAGTGAGACAAAGCTGTCTTAACAAGATTCTCATTGTTTCCCATCATTCTTCTTTACCTTCAGTAGGTAATTCCCCAGGTGAGAGTTCCAATGGTTGGCCTCGTGTGACCATGTAATGGATTGGGTTAGGGATGCCCCCCACTGCCAATCAATAGCTGAAGCAGCCCAATCCAGTGCTTATCGAACCAGATCTGCGATTAACCCCAGCAACACCTCAATCGGACCACTACCTGCCGAACACATTCCACCTTCCACCCTCACCTCTTCCTTTTTACCAGCCCAACACACACACTGAAGTCGTCCCTTCTCCCATGCAATAGCCCACCCACGCACTCCTAACCGCTATGAGACCAGGCAGCCCAAACCAGGAGCTTCAGAAAAGTCATCAGGCCCTGATATCTTTCAGCCCAGGTTAATGGCATCCTTACCCTACCCATATGAACTTCGTGATTAAGAAAAACCAAAATGCTTTAATCTCCAAAAAAAAATTAATCACTGAGATCACTGTACACCAGAGGCAAATATCTAGAGATAGGACCAAAACACTAGATTATCACTGTACTCTATAACAGACCACTCTATATATTGTGAAAGTGGCTAATTTCATTCCACTATACACTGTCTTAGTGGCTAATCACTCTGTAATTCGCTACAACTAAATTTATGGTGCTTAACTTCACATCATTATTCATCCCCTCCATCAAAATCTGTTTTTGGTTTCCTTTTTCCATAAGAACCGTGAAGAAGGAGGGCCATCTTAGACACCTTTCATGTTAGACTTATTGAACATTTCAGAGTCACCTTCACCTGTCAAGCGAGTCTTTGATATAGTGCATTGTTAAAGTGCATAAAAGGTTTCTTACAAGCATGCTAGGTTTTGAACCAGCACAAAAAATAATGCGTAAAAAGTAAGCCAATTGGAGTATGTAGGAACTAACCTGTAGGCCGATAACAACCGTTTGAACTCCTCCTCTAGCTTTAGAATAGCTTCTACCAATATATTATTTATATGATTAACCACACGGTCCCTATTCCTGAAAGTTTTCATGGAACTAAAGAAATATAAATTGCTTCTCAGTTCGTCTATTGCCGTCATATAAGTTTTTAAGTCTTCATGTGGGCCTTTCCGAATATTAGCTTCTGCCTGCATGTTCATTGAAAGTTTGAAATTAACGCAAATTAAAAGCAGATGGTGTCTTGAAGCTGATGTCATGAGAGAGATGATGATCATACTGAAAGAATAATGAACATTAACTAAGCGAAAAAGCAATATCAATCGGCAAAAATTAAGGCCAATGAACCCATAAAAGAAGAAAAAGTTGCACCAATTGCACGTAACCAGTATGGACATTATGAAGATAAAGCACAAACTCGACAAACTAGAATAAAAATATCACATAAGCGGAGACGAAATTTTATGCTTTTCGAGATCATAGTAAAAAGATCATAGATTGAATTTTCTTATTTATGTTATTCAACATTTTATCTAGTCATTGTTTGCGTATCTGCCTCGTTACTAGAGAAGCCATTCAATTCCGCGCTAGTTTTCTTTGCCCTTGCGCAAAATGTTTAGTGAGCACCACAGCCTTCGTTCCATAAATGGTTTGGAAATCCCTCTTCCTGCCATTTAACACTTGCGTATTCTCAATTTTTTTTGTCACATAAATTCCTTCTTGTTTGATACATTCTTTCCATTATACAGCGAGCAATAGAAAACACTCGATTTTACATGTTTTCGTCACGATTTCGCAAAGTCTTCCCCGACAGCCACACTATTCAATATGGCGCATCATTTTTTCATAAGGCTTTGGCATTGATTTTCTTTTCTCAAAACCTCCACAAGTCTGCCTTCGGTGTTAAAAAAAAAGATATATATTTTCTAAATCTTTCTTCCATTCTAGAGTTCTGTATACTTGAATGAGCTACTATCCATCAAATTAAATGATAAATCAAGCAAGCCAAGGCAAAGGCGTCACCTCACGGGAGGAAACAAATTTCCTCAGGATTACGTCCGCAGACTTCAAGGTCTTGTCGATGTTTCCACACGCCATGCCGATGGTATGCGTTCTCACCTGCATGGACACCAAAGGGGGGAAACAAAGAGAGAGAAACAATTCCAATGAGGGATCTATCGAGGGAGCCAAGAAGGATGCTGGATGAGAGAATAGGATAGAAGCGAAGATTCCGAAATGCGAATGTAGGAAGAATCTTTGCAGGAGGTACAAAGGAGGAATGTGCGAGATATGCTATCAGGAGGGATCGTAAAGCAAACAGATATGTGTCAAAGTTAAGAGTTGAATACATGAGTGGGGCGCATGGCGGAATCGAGAGCAGAGAGACGTCGGTCCAAGGAGCCGAGTATCTTCACCATTCCCTCGGTGGTGTCCTGGCTCTTCCGCAGCGACTCCCTCAGGAAGCTCGCCTTCGTTTCCAGCGTATCCATCACGGGCGGAATCACCATTCCCCCTCCCCTATCCATCCTACGCGCCCTTCTCTCCTCTTCCTCCCCCCCTCTCCGGTCGACCCGACGAGGAGGCAAGACAACAACAGGGAGGAGAGGACCGAGTCCTCCCGGCTTCCTTCCACGAGGTGTACCTGGTGGACCTGGTCGTCTGCGGACGAAGCAGACAGCGATACCTTCTCACCGCCGCGGGACGTTGCGACATCTCTACGCAACTGGGTCAAATACCTGCCTCGCCTCCCTCCTCCCTCCTCCCTCCCTCGGATGATTCCAGGAAGCCCCCCCGCTCCCGCGCCGCTGCCTACACCTTCCGACTCAGGAACAGCTGCCGTCTCCCTCTCCCCGCACGTCGGGAGAAAAACATAATTTATTACCGTAAATGACTTTTTATATTAATAAGGAAATAAATACCTCAATATCCCCCGTATTTTACCGAATATTTTTTTCGTTTTATTGTAAAACTATTATTTGGATACATTATCCTTCTTTTATTTTATTTATACGCCGCTTTCATAAGAGAATAATGCTTTAATTATCATGATTAATGCTGCGTGTCCAGATAGATGTGAGCTGCTCAGTATTGGGCATATAAGCTTAGTCAGACCCCCACGACCAAGAGGGGGCTAGGGCTCGAGGTCAAAGCTGATACCACCACCAGCCTGTCGCGGTGAAACCATCTGCCGTACCCAAATTATTGTAATTTTTAGAAACTCATAAAAAATAATTACCCTTTTATGAGCACCTGTGCTGCATTTACCCCAGGTACGGGTGTTTGACTTTGGGAATGCGTTGTGGTCAGCGGGTCAGCCGAGCAAGAGGAAGAACACCACATGGCAAGGTGATTCCTTCATTTATTTTACGAGCGAGCAAGCACGCCACGTTGTTGATGCCTCCATTGAATCATTTCCTTGGCGCGTTGACTCCGCACGTCAGAAGGGTTCCAGTCTCAGGATCTGGAGTTGACAAAGAGAGCCAGCAGTACAGCGACACAAGCCTCAATATTTACATTACACCACGGAGATCAGAAAAATGAGCGAAATAATCAGGCAAAAAGCAACGAATTTGAGAGGAAAAAGCTTGAATCGGCAGAAGGAGAGCCAGAAGAGCCCTGGTTTTTTTTTTTTCCGTTTTTTTTCTTCTTCAGGCCGGCCTGTGGGGATCGTCGACCTTCATGCCCTTGAGGCTCTTCGCCAGCCAGATCGCCGTCTCCCTCGGAGAGACCTTGTCCTTGCCGAAGGGCTTCAGGACCACCGCGAGCTCTTCCAGCCTGCTCTCCTGCAGGAGCTCCGCCGAGAGCTCCAGCAGCCCTTCCAAGGCCTCAGCTCGCTGCCTGAAGGACTTCACGTCGAGGGTTTCCTTAGCGGTGGGAGCTACAGGGTTCTCCGGTTGCTGTATTACGGCGTCGGGGCCAGCGGAATTCTCCTTGTCGGAGGCCGGACACTTACCGGCGGCGAGCTCCGGCGAGGCCGCCGGCGGGGGATTTTTTATCATCTCCGCGTTGAGCAGCTTCCCCACGCCGCCTTTCTGCGGCGGCTCGCTGCCGACGCGGAAGCTGCTGTGGCGTATGACGTGGATGACGTCGTCGAATGCCGGCGGCAGGTGAGACGCCGGCGGCTTCTCTGGCAGCGATATCTTCGAGCCTAACGGCGAGGAGGAGTCCGCCATCGATGAGAGCAGTTCTCGGACTGTGAACTTGTCTTCTCCCCGGTGGCCAGCCTCTGCTCCGTCCATGGAGACGTCGTCCTTGCAGATGAACTCCTGCTCGGAGCCCGGGAAGGAGAGCTCCATAGCCGAGGCCGAGCTCAATTCTTCGCCGCCGGCGAGGCTCTGCTTCGGATCCGCATACACGGAGTGGTCCTCCTCCGCCGCAGAACTGCGGCACTGCCCCTCGAAAGCTTCTGTTCGCTGACGGGGAACAGACTCGATCTGTTCAAAGCTGCCAACATGTTCCGTTGTGGAGCTCGAATCTGAGGAGCAACCCAGTTGAACAGCATGCCCTGAATCTTGAGGGTCCTCCTCCGGGACCTGGATGAGACCCGCTGCCTCCTGCCCATCTGCGGTGTCGATCTTCTTCGGCGGAGCCGGAGCCGGAGTCGGAGCCTTCTCCGGCAGATGGTTTATCTTATCAAAGGGAGACGGACTTTGATGTTCCTCCGTCAGAGTGTTCTTGGGTGGAACCTTCTCGGGCTCCTCACTCTCAGGCTCATGGGATTTCTTCGTGTTGGGGGGGACTTTGAAGAGCTCTTGAGTCGCGCGGTTTTCAGAAGCCTTCCACCTGAGAGTGGAGCCTACGTTCGCCTGAAGAATCTTCTGGTTCATGGCGGGTTCTTCTGTTGCGTCTCCCTTTGGGATCTTCGCATGGTCTTCGCTTAGAGGCTTTCTAGGAGGTTTCTCATGCTCTCGAGCAAAAGGGTCATGGCTTATCCTTCTGTTGGGTGTCTTCTCGCGCTCTTGGCTCAGCTTTCTTTGTAGTATCTTGGTAACACTGCCTGAGGGCCTGGGGATGTCATGGGTGGCGGGTTTTGGGGAAGGAAATGGCGGCCGTTTCAGCAGACTGGCGTGCGGGGGCCTCTGACTGGTCCTGTCAGGCGTGGAGTCTTCCTGCGATGGCTTGGCAGTATCAGAGAGGGCGGTGGCCCCCTCGAGCCTAGCCTTGGTTTTCGGAAAGGACTCCACTGCCGGCAGCTGCAAGATAAGATTCAAGAAGATGAGCGCACCGTGTGTCGTGTGTGAGTGAGAGGAAGAGGAATCTCAAGGTGGGGTATGCTCCTCTCACCAGATGCTTCAATGGGTGTAGGGCCCCCTTGGGGGTGTTGGCTGGGGCAGAGGACGACGCGTCTGAGTTGGACTTTGAGCTCGAAGAGCCAGAACTTATGGTGGGCTCCGAGACCTTTGGTTGCAGTCTGGCATTGGTCTTGTGACCGTCGACTTCAGGCTTTGAGGGATTGTTCCTCAGAGGCGAGCTATTTCCTCTGGCCTTACCCTCCTCTTTCATTGCCATTAATATATTCTTAATGGATCTCGGCTGCTTGATCTCGACTTCATGAGCTTGGACTGGGCAAGATTTCTTCGACGGGTCCTGCTCAGCCACTTTGATATGTTTGCGTTCCCAGTTTGGGGTGTTCTGGCATGCTGACGGCGAAGAAACAGAGCTGGGATCGCAAGGAAGCCCATCGTCAGTTGAAGCGGTATCAGCAGCTGCGCCCGGGTGATCAGAGTTCGGTGGTGCTGGCGGCATGTTTCTCTCAGAAGATAACAAGCTGTCCCTGTCACCGCTGGAGACGCTACTGTTCTGGCTTTCTGACAACCTCTCTCGGCCATTGATTGGAGAGGAGATAGGCTTCTGTGGTGACCGCGCGCTAGTAGGTTCGGAGGAAGTGTACTGTCTGACATACGGTTGCAGATATGGATGCCTTAGAATTTCAGATGCCTAGTCAATATTGGATACCCATATTGTCAGAGAATTCTAGATAATTGACTGGGAAACAGAGGCGGGCTGCAGTTTGAAAGAAAGCTTACACTTGGTCGATGCTCAGGGCTCTTTCTCAGCATGGTTTTGATTAGTGCTTTCCTGTATGGAATGGAATATTCATTAATAATAATAAAAATAAACAGAAAAGCTGATGGGCAACTCTTTTAAGGATGATAGATATGTGTGCGGCAGCAGTTGTGAAGACTATTTATGCAATTATTTCAACGTCATCCTGCTCTGACAGAAAAGTCGAGCAAATTACATATTTAGAAAGTTGATAATAACATGGTATGGTAGAAGCGCCAGGTGCACATTAATCAAGAATCGGTATACCTTAAACATGAAAAAAAAAGAGGGTAATTATAGTGTTCTTTGACGATCTTAAATCTGCGTCTGGAAGCTGCATTCGACCTCATGGAAGGAAGCTTGGGGAATCAAGCATACTCACAAGGAGGAAGAATAGCATGCAGGCAGAGGACCAATAGCAGAGCGGTTTATCTTACTTATGAGTCCAGCCATATCCTGAAATTCCATAAAGCCACAGTTATAATAGATTTGAAATCTGCACTAGAAGATTCTATAGGAATCTGAACCCTGGGAAGTAGAAACCTAAAACAGAAGTTACCAGAGGTCCTGCCTCAATAATATTGTATGATTAGTTTACCCTGCTTTTCCAAAGTGACCAAGAGAGTGGAAAAGTTTTAAAAAATTTAAGTCCAAATTGCCACTTGGTGTTGATAAGTGGGGGAGAAAGATGCCAGTGAAGGACAGTTGCTCAGCAACATTGTCTCAAAACCAAATGTTCCCGGTTTGATAAACTTCGATGCCACAATCCGGTTCCTGTCCGATGAACCCCAAGGGTTCATCTCTGCTATAACACAAGCCGGGGGGGGGGATAGAGAAAAGACTGTAGGATAGCTGACGGGTCATGTAAGTGGAAATGAAAACTCATTAACTGGCCTCATCGACCAATATCGACTTCCTCCGAGCTGGGAGAGGCAGTAAGGGCAACAGCAATCTTCCAGATTGGTATTTCCCATCATTCATCAATGGATGAATCTACAACAACCAACTCTAAGTGATAGTGCGTTAACGTTCAGAGGCTCAGCACTCCAAACTGGTCTGTGATTTCTTGCCATCTCTCCACCGTCGTCACTATCAATCAGAGATCATTGTCCTATATATGATCCGCAGTTCACGGTCAAAAATGTAACAGGAGGCTGCTAATACATACAGTTTTCATTAGTCACTCGAGGATTTGCAGACCCATTAGCTTTGAAATTATGTACGCTTGTTGTGGATGAGGAAAAGAGGAAATGTGGGGATAGCGGGGATGCAATCAGATGTCCGAGAATTGTGATTAAGAACTTGAACCAATTCAATCAATGGCTCTTTATCTCTTTAACCATGGGACCCCAAGGGAGTTTGAAGACTTTAAATATCATCCAAGGTTCCCCAGAGCACTCAAATAGATCTCAAACGATTCTGCAAGTCCCACAGTCTCTCCTGGGAAACAGGGATGCGGCCAAATCATATTTACTTTCTATACCGCGGGGTATTTATTAACTTGAACTTTTAAAATAATGAGTGGTCTACCTAAAAGAAGAAACGAAGATAAAACTTATAAATAAAATGAAATGTAGCTTCTGCCAGAAGGATGCAGACCACTACCCTAGAAATGTGAGAGACAAGGGCATTATTTATCTGTTGTGTTTATTGTTAAATAGTTTTCCTAGATTTATATGTAATTCCACAAGAGCGAAATAAATCAGTGGAGAACCCTACACAATAATAGAAGCGCCAGCATAGGAGGATATTAAAGAAATCGAACTCAAACGTGCTTAAGTTTGAAGAATTAGGTGATCTCATTGGGGATATACAACAGTCCACAACCCAAGACTAAATGGAATTACCAAGGACAAGATGTAGGCAGCTTAGACGGTTCGGGATCAACAGGACTAGTACTTCAAAGGGAGGGCCGAAATAAGAAGTATAACAGTCAAGTAAAGGAGGGATGCATGAATCTTACAAAGGCTTTAAAAGCTGGGCGGTGAGCGGCCATTTCGTACATACAACAACCTATAAAACCAGAAAAACCTAGGGTAAAAACGTCACACGGCAGCAACCACTGTAGACAAGAAGACAGCTGTGACACATCTTACCAAGAGACCAAATATCTGATTTGAACCCATACGGTATATCAGCAAGGAGTTCTGGGCACATGTAATTAGGCGTTCCTACCACCTGAAATGATAACACGAAAAATACCAGAAAATAGCTGTTTATGAGAAAGCACCGTGGCATCATGCTGTTTAAGTATAAATACATTTGATTTTAAGCATATTAATAGAAATAAAACCCTAAAAATTATGAGGGGACGGTTTTTGAGCTTGGGGCCTGACAGGCCTGTGCTGGACCGGTTCACTTGACTGCAAGGTTCAACTGCTTTAAACAATGGTTCGACGACCACAGAAGTACAAAGAGGGTAGGCCTAGCCCAGCCTGACAGCTACCAAGAAACTCAAGATCCCAACCGATCATACCTCTATCACAAACCTAATCCATCCCCTCCTTCTGTCAACTATATGCTCCAATCCCTCCACACCTCTCCCCAGGAGTACCAGTAGTGTGAGGAAAAGTGTTCATCTTTGGACTATCCAGAGTCTTTCAGGTGGGTCTATCCAGAGTTTTTTATGTCACTGCACTTTTGTCTAATCATCCCGGCATCCTCAGACTCAGGCCACTGGCACTGCTGATTTGAGCGAATATTCATCTACCCAAAACGCAGGCTATTACAATTTGATTGAGTCAGCTACTTGAAAACTCCAGATATGGGTTGGCAAAGCAGATGCAAAATAATTAGAAGGATTAAACAGAATGTTCGCAGATCTTGGGGGAATTATTGTGGTTGCAGATTTCAATAGCCATAAATTTGACAGTCCACTGATTAAAAATTTGGGAGCTTTTACCCACTATTCTTGCGCTTTTACCGTTATTCTATTTTTCCTCAAAGCGTGATCTACTTTGGAACCAAGAAGGTGATTACAAACCTCAAAGTTCTGTAAAGGCAAATCAATCTGTTCTATCTATGCTAAATATGCATACATTAGTCTCACTTTCCATAGATGACAAGAGTTCCAATTACGTATTTCCATTTCTATTTTTGAAAGCCTATGTTATGCTTCCTTACTTCTCCAAGAAACAAAAGAATGTAGGGCTAAGACAGGAATCGACATATTTCCGATTTCTTGTCCAGCTTCTCCAACAAATTTCGCTCGTTGAGAACCACCAATGAAACTTACGGCTAAAATTGGGCATAAAACACCATACTTACAGAGGAAGCCAAGTCATCTGCTTTTAAGGTTTTGGCAAGTCCAAAATCCCCTGTAAGTTAATAAAATTTTAATCATTATAGAAGCATATAAAGATAATCCTATGAAAACAGTCCTGGCAGGAGAAAGTTCAAGCACAACCAACTGAGAAAAAACTAACCGAGGCGAACATCTTGTTCCTTTGTCAGAAATATATTGGAGCACTGCGAGAAAAATACAACAGAAAAAAAATTCAATGACGATCATAATAAGCGAGATAAATAGTCAGATGGATGGCATATCCTCTTCCAACTTGTACTGCAAACCTTCAGGTCCCGGTGAAGGACAAAGTTGGAATGCAGATACTCAACGGCCAACAGCAACTGTGTAAACCACCTCAAAAGTTTCTGAAAGAGACAAAGACATCATAAACAAATCCCAACATTCAATGCATATCAGAGTATTCCGAGAAAAAAGTCATCTCAAACAGTAGATGAGGACAGCAAAGGCCAAACCTCCTCTGGGAAAACCCCTTCACCCAATCTCTTTATCATTTCAGCCCTATGAAGTCAAGATAACATATCACGAAAATGTAGCCTGCGAATTAAGTGTCCTAAAAAGACAGAGGTGGTGGGATAGCACTTACATGTCTCCACCTTCGCAATACCCCGTCACTATACAGACATAACAACCCTGCATTGTGAAACCAATGGGGGAAGATCCTCAAAAAATAATCTCAACAAAATGTCACAAGAAAAATAGCTGCGTCCTAGCTTTTTAGGCAATATCCCCTACCTTTTCCACCCAAGCTTCCTTGTACTCTACGATGAAAGGGTGTTGGATCCGAGCAATAAGAGCCATCTGTTAAAAAAAAGAGCAGAGATAACGGCTTAGAGCAATAAACTACAGATGAAAAGACAGGGCCCATTGGATCTACCTCTTGGTGAGCAGATCTCCTGCATCTTTCTGTTTGCCTTGCAAGCCGGATTTTCTTCAAAACGTACCTGAAGTCAAAGATGAAAGTGATAAGATATGATATGAATCATTTAAAAATGTGAAACAAAGCACAGCTGCCTAGACATTTTGAGTCTAACATGAAAATCGAAACAGTCTCACCTTTTCTTCTCCACCTTGTGGTTGACAAGTATGGCTGCTCCAAATGCTCCCCGGCCAATCTGCTCCATTATTTCGTATTGATCCATTCGGGACTCCATTGTTACGAACAACAAGATTCGTTGCACTTTGACCAAAAGATTATCAAGAAACAAATTCTGACCCCTCAGTCCCACAGACTAGCAACCCCCAGAGCCTTTCCGCACCGCACGACACGAGAGCTGATAATTTTCCTTTTCTTTCCTAACGACGACTGAATCTAAAGTCGGAGGAACTGAACGCCGACACAGGTCAGATCTCGTGATAATAGAAAAGTAAGTTTCGAACCTACATTTCTTATTCAGAAATACAACGAATCCATCAACAGGGAGAATGATCATCACCCATCTCCATCAATTTCCCCTGCTCCTCACAGAAAGCCGCTCCTGGTCTCGGGAGCCCTTCACTAGCACTGTGGAGCACTCCTGCGATACCAGATATCTCCAGCGAACGGAGAGTGATAGAGAGCAAACTCCTCCGCCACACGTCTCTATCGATCGTCGGCAATCCACAGCCGGAGTAGCCAATTTCCAACGCCTCAAATCATTACCACTGTTCGCATTACCCTCACAGACGACCCTGCACCCCTCTCCATCGTTCCCGGGGGGCCAATGTTCCGCCAATCGGCGACGGCGCCCCGAGACCACTCAGCAACCGGATCTTTTCCACCCGCTCCGCTGTACTCCACTCCGAAACGCCACCGCAGAGCCTCCCGACCCTTCCAGTCGCGTCAGCCGAATCCTGTTCTCTCCCTCCTGTAGAAAGAGAACGAAGCGAGATCTCTCCGTCCTCCCCGCTCTTCTCTGCTCCTCTTCCCCACTCCACTCTGCGGCAAGATCCTCCCCTCTTCCCCCCCTTTTTTTTAATCTTTTCCTCTTTACTCTCCACTCGACTTTCCCTCCACGGTGTTGGCGGGTTCCGTGTGGGCCCCAGAATAACCCAGTCCCGGTTAACTCGACCACCTGACCAGTTAAACCGTTGGCCACCGGGCAGCTCCCAAGGGCAAATATGCAATTCTGAGATTAGACCCCCCGCAATCAATGCCGGACACGTGGTGTTTTTCATTCGGCGGCTGACGTGGCGAGATACACGTGCGACCGACGCCCTCCTTCCCCACGTGCCGTCAGCGCTGGCCGGTCCGGTCTCCGGCTCGGGGGGGTTGGGGTGGGGGTGGGACGGCGGGTAGGACGGGACAGATTAGTTGAGAAGAGGTCCCCTTGCAAGAGTTCCAAAACCCAACGTGGGGGGGCCCCCTCGAAGACGCAGTTCAGTTTGACCCGGCGATGTTGGATCTGCGGATCCGCCGCGTCAAACTCTCTCTCCGCCGCCTGGGCGGGTCTTCGGCCTCGTGCCGTGCCGCCGGTCCCGCCCCGGCGGGCGCCTGCGCTTGCGGCGCAAAGAAGGGGGAGTGCGGGGGGGCCCCGCGGCCGATGCCACTCAATTAGTGGCGCCTGCGGCACTGTGGCTTGGAGCCATTGGCGGGTTCATTAAGCTGAGCCAGGCCGTCCTGAGTCGCTTGGTCGGCTGACAGCATAATAACTTACCAGCACCGAATCGAGGACAGATTTTTTTATGAATATCTAATCTCGATGTGGGGAAAGTGGGGCCAGTGGGACTGGCTGGACCGAGTAGATTACTTTGCTAATACTGGGAACGGGACTAATGTGAGTGTACTTTACTCTCTCCACCTAATTTTGCTGGAGTCTAGCGAGCCTCTCTTCTGCATGCGGAATACTTGGCTCGTTCAAGAAAATATATATATATAAGGATTGGTTTGACCCCAAGAGACCAAAATGTTCCTCAAAGTTATAAAGATGGCAAAATGAGATCCCTTAGATAGAACTTCCCAATTGATGATTAGTTCACATCATGCGTGATGCTTGTATAACTTTGTTTAATACGTAGGAGCCTAATCCTCTCTACGATAAGGGCTAGGTACTTTGTGTCACGTCACCCAAGGTGACATAATGAAAATGAGTTATTCTTTGAGCTAAAACTCATGATCTTAAAGGTTTAAGTTGTTTGGGGTTATGAGTATGTCTAGTACTAACATATGGTTAAAACTATTTTTGAAAATAATCATGTGAGAAAATAGTATCAGAGCAATCTTTCATTATCTAAGTCGTTACTTTTCTATTCCTTTTCTCTTATGAATAAAATAATGTAGCTCGGAGGGAGAGTGAAATTTATAACTTTCAAATTATTCATCATGATGAGAAGACGATTGATTTTGATGCCCTATAGGTTATACAGACTCAAATTCAAGAGATAAAAGGTTGTATCCATGATGAGAAATGAGTTGAAAGTTTACTAGCAATGACTTGTGAAGTTATTACCCACACTAACATTTTGATAAAAGATAGGGGTCTAAGAAGTTTGTAGTGTGCTCTAGATAACCTCATGAATGAGGTCGCTTAAGTGAGACTTCTATAAAATAATGTAATAATAAGGGGAGACATGATATGAGTCAATGTCCTAGAACAAAACCCATTTTCATGTGTTAGGGACATTTAAGAAATTGAAAGCTTCTTATGAGTTCTTAACAAATATCTGTAGATGAATTAGACATCATCATCTCATTGATAGATTTTTTTTTTTTTAGGAAGTTAGAGAATAATTTTGACTTAGAAATTATACTTGGAAAACTCAAGATGTACTGCACGAACTGAAATAAATTGGTACCATAGGGTACTACGTGAAATAATTCACATTGTTCTTATTGGAGGTCGAACATAATGATGTTAGAAATCTTCTAACATCAATTGCAACGATGGAAGCACCATAAAGTTATTGAAACTTGCATGATGTTAAAAGATATGTGTGCTAATTAACTTCAATATTGAGGAGGAGGTTGAGGTTGAGGAAACAATAACATATGTGGCAAAGGTGAATGAATAACTTCGACATAATTGGTCAATGAATATTTTATGTTAGAGGCCAAGGAGTACTAGTGGTATCTAATAACATGTAATGAGAATAAATATCATGGGCAACCTACTACATAGAAGGGGGACCACATTGATATGTACATGGTCTATATGGAGTAGACAAAATAGAAGTGTGTGAGACTAAACACATTATAGATGTTGGGACACTACAAAGTTGAGTGGAGTCAAGTGGGCCATAATGGCTAATATTTGTCAATGTCACAATTAGTGATCATCCGTGTGAGGGATAGTAGATAGTGAGATAATTTACTAGTTTCTCTTTGAGTAGGAGACAAATTAATCGAGTGGAGTAAGTTCGAACCAATTTGTGAATTAAAAAACATGGGACCTTATAAGGTTAGTATGTGACACAACATTACATGTGAGATCATGAAAAGAATATATGAACTTCTTAGTCTTCCTAATTGATACCTCAGCATTATCCTTAACATCAACTTTGAATTCTAGAATGTGTCTTTCCTTAGTACAACAAAGTGTTATTGAGAGGGGGTGAGTTTTCATAATATCTTCAAACATGAAGGTGAGACTTACTTGATCACACTAAGAAATATTAAGAAAAAAATGACAATCAATAATAATATGTTGCACATGTGCTATTATTTCAATATGGATAACAAAAACAAACAAAGGGTGAAATTAACTTCCTCCAAAAGTTAGAAGTCAATGCATGAAGTGGATCATGCATTGATTTAGTGCCACAAGAACTCACATTAATATAAGTAACTACATAGAATGTTAGAGATATGTCATGTTTTGTCATCTAAGGCTCTTGATAAAGTATAATTTCTTTTCAACTAGAAGTACATCATACTTAGGCTATATGTATACTATATAACCCCAAGTAAAATAATCATTTAGAGCAAATATCATAGTCCACATATATATAAATTATTTGAGTGACTGAAAGACACCAAATCTTTTATTATGTTGACCTCAAGAGTGGCTATCATTAAGTGTAGAACTAGGGAGGTAGACAAATAAGAAACAACGCCTTTTGAATTTATGGTAATATTTTGAAGTTCACCAACACTTCTTACAACTTTTTCCACTTTAATGGACTTCATCTTCAACTATTATTTAGAACATGTGAAATACTTGCAACCTAGTGCTAGTGACATTGAAGGATGATTACATATTCCTCACATAGTGCTAGAGATCATTTTTTTTCAAACAAATGGTGAGAGGTGTGACTATATACTTGGATGACATAAAAATTTAGATTATTGATGAATTACTTGTACCTTATGAAGTGATAGAGTAATGATATTTTTTGGGCCTAGTAAGTTAGTGCTAAAAATATATTTATGGATTTTTTGAACTAATAACATCACTAATTAAATTGTTTAGTAATTATAGATGCTGAAATTAGATAGAGAAACATTAAAAGACCTTTGACAATGTGAGAAAGGTCATCATCATTAAGTTAGTCTCTAATCATCTATTCCTTCCAAGTCTTTTGAAATCCACACCAACACATTAGAGTTGGCCATGGTGAGGGATATTAAGATATAAAAAGATGCAGCAATGTAATTTCATAACTTATTATACATTGATATTATCTACTAAGAAGTACATTAGACATCTACATCAATAACATCATGATGAGATGTTTTAACTTGCATAAGAAGCTCACATTTTAGAAAGCATAGTGGTTATTTTATCCTTGAGTATGGTTTTACACTTTATTACAACAAGTTATGATAAAAAATATGTTACTTTTATGCAGAGGATCAGATTTTTATATGGAGTGTAGAGCATTATGTGTCATGTAGTGATAACATTTAGGAAGTCCTAATGCTAAAGATGCATAACATATTGTGCATGAGATAATGACCCTTATATCTATCAACTAATTTTGACTAATTATGGAACATGACATAAAGGCTTATGTCCATGTATTGTCTACTATGAATGATTTATTAGCAAGACCTAGTGAGTGAACACAGTGTAGATGTTGGGCTTACTATCCATAATTGAATCCACAAATTAGATCTGACTCACTTAAGAATATAAATGACATAATTGTAAAAAGAAAATGACATGTACATAAATAAGTGAGGAATATAAAATGATTATAATATCTTTTTCTCAACCATTCCCCCTCAAGTTAGTGA